TCACCCCTACATATTTTAAACTGGACTCGCCCAGTCTTTGATTTGGTAAGGTTCAAATATGACTTCAGGGGTGAATGGTTATTGCAATTGAATTCCTCGAAATTCAATGTATTCAAAATCATTTAAAATGGAAAACAGAAAGTGAATATGTGACAGTTGGATAAGTTTTATATATTGAGATTGAGTTTTGGAAATTATCAAAGCAAGCAAGGTTAATTAGGATTGAATTAATTCAATTTTAAAGTGTTTGCAAACTTTTAGTAAACCACATCGCTACATATTAATGCCCATTAACCTCATCATAACTGTGGTTAAATACTCAGAAGTTTGTTGGAAAATTATAGCAATATATCCACATTTCAAAATCCTATTGTGATACAATATTGCCAAACAAATATTGCAATTTTTAAATATTGAAGTAAAGGTAGGAGGATGAGAAGATATTTTGAGGATTGGGTTCCCTTTTTGCAGATCTGGCCAACATAAGAATTCAGACTATTGTACCCTTAAGCTTGGATACAGTTATTCACAGCAGTGACATTAGGCTTCTATTGTTTTTTGGTGGGAGTTTATTGAACGATATCCAAAGTTTATTTACAAATCCCACGTAGTAAGCTGAGAGCTATCAATCGCCTGCTGTGTTACAGAACACAGACCATTATCCGATCGGCTCGGCCAATTATCTGGGTGACAACTACGCCATTGTTTCAGTGCAAGGTCTATGTTTGGTTTGTGTGTTGACAAAAGATAGATCTTGTCATGTTATGGAGATTGATGTGGGAGTTGAAGAGTTAATTGTCGGTAGCTAATAACAGTCGAAAAAGTTGTGTTTTTACAGAAGCGAGATACAATGATAAATGTTGAAATATTAGCATAGCATGACAAAAATAATTCCTCATAATCTTGTAAACAAAGTACTATAGATTTTTTATGAATTTTATCAGTACAGTAGTTTTTGTTGGGTTTTTTTCCAGGCAGGTCCTGAACATCTTTCTCAAATTTTGATGAGTTCCATTACTGAGAGATGTGGCAGGTTTTTAAAACTTTGCGAGTCCCACTGGGAAACTATGAGTCAACGAATCAAATACAGGAGTCCCAAAAAAGATCACTAGTGAATTTAAGAGTCCAAAGTTGTGTCCGATGGTTTAGGTTAGTTAGTTTCTGTTTAGAAGAAGAATATTATATTATGAATCACTTCTTGGTTATTGTAATAGTGAGATGAAACTTTTTAATCAACAAAATTACCTGTCTGCTACCTGGATGTCATCTATGAAATGCTGACTCAGCAGACAGCATCAGACATGCCCACCTGTCGCTGGATGTTATGATTCCTATCCTGAATCGTCCTTGTGGTGGCGATACACCTTGGCATCAAGAATCAGATCGCTAATCGTACTGGTGTTCTGTTCGTCCCTGAGCCGCAATGACACATCAATGTAGTAATGCTGACATTGTACAATGTCAATCAGTTTATCCAGTATCACAAAAAACAATCTTTCCTTTCATACTCAGTAGAGAACTATCGTATACCAGGACATTTTCGCCCAGTCAAACTTTCGCCCTAGGTTGGTAAAGTCTATTCGCCCAGTGTTATATTCACCCTTCACATTTAATCGCTACGTTTAATATGTTGTTTACTAATGTTCCTTCCCTCTTATGATAAATTCATTATGGAGGGCAAATGAGGCGGAGGTTAACTGTGGCGAAAATTTTCTGCTATACAGTATTCCTTAACTGATTTATTTTGATGAAGTTCTCCTTTCTTCTTGAATGAAAATTCATTCTGCTTTCTATCAACAAATTTGCAATTTCCCTTTCTTCCACATTGTCTGGACTGACAAGGTACAGGTAAAATTTTAATTGGTAATATTTACATAATGATTTAAACTTTCAAATTAAAAAAAAATATGCATGTCCATGTGGATTCAAAATGATTACTTTGAAGCTAGCACACAATAATATTACTATTTCTACACAAATTTTTAAGAAAACTGAATTTTAATTTTGGGTCCTGGAATACAAGTGCACGAATGGTTCCACACCCAGTGTGTTGGAGTGCATATAAGATTGTAGTTTGATTTTAATAAAGAGATTTACTCAAAATGTGTTGTTTGGAAATGTTGATAATTATAAAATATTTCAACCACCAACTCTAGAAATGGAGGCAGAAACTTTTGTCACAGTGTTTTGTTTTGCAATTTAATCAAATTCAACATTTATAGATTTTGTGTAAGTAGAAATGAGGTCACAGTGACCTTTGCTTAGAACTTTCCTGTGGGTGGTATCTCATTATTGGTTTCTATGCATTGTATTGTGTGCTATTCCATGTTTTCTGTATCGAGTGTAAAAGTGAACAGCCAGCGATGGATTTTACTGAAAGTACTTAATGTTGTTATAAAAGTGCTTTGTCCAATTGATTCAGTGGCCACTATGTGGGAGGTACACTCGGCTTTCACCAGAATACAGGTATTTGCATATAGATCACTAATGTCTATATTGTCCACAGCAAGGTTGGTGCTGTTGTTCATCCCACGCACTTAATCTGGATTAATGTAGGGAGTTGAAGTGAAATGTCTGAACTTCTGCTGCTCATAGATCAGAGAAGATATGTGTAAACCTACTATGAGATTTAGTGTGTTTCATGTACAACACCTACATTTAAATTTCTTGTTTCTTAAAAAGATATGGGGTTTTACATATATTGGGCGGTGAAAGAAATTGGTAGGGGGAGGGGGGGGGGGGGGATATTTAAATATGTCAGATCAAGCACAAAAGGATAACTAAGTCATGTAAGAATGGATTTATGAAATGTTGAGATGACCTTCAATTTGTATAAAGTCCTGTGAATAAAAATAGACCTGATATGCTATATTAATAAAAATATTTCCCCAAATTTGAATAACATATACATGTCGATAAATCTTTCCCATCTTTAGATCAACATTTTTTTTTTCATCTTTGATGTATATCCATGATTTTTTTTTTCATTCAAAATGTGATTCCCACTTATCCAAAAGAGCTCCAAGAAACATCCCAGAAGTCCACTTTTGAAGATGAAACGAGACATTTAAGCCATTCTGCCTGATTTAGGTTTGGAAAACAACAGCACTAGATTTGAGTGAGAACCTAGTTGACCTGGTTTGTGTGTTAATATGACAAAGTCGCAAAACACTTTACAGGAATCAAATTTGTGTTCACTTGTCGTGATTCAGGTTTGGATGATGAAACTATGTATCGAGAAATAAACATTTCTTTACCTGGCCTGATTCAGGTTTGAATGATGAAACTAGGTACGGAGGATTCAAGGTTGGATGTCTGATTATTCAAAAATAATTGACACATTTGATATCTGCATAATCCTTCCACATTGCCCTTTAATTCCTAATGCAATCTCCGATATTAATTGAAATCAAATATGCGCCCTTTTAATTTGCTATTTTGATCAAGGCTAATGAAGGTTCTTGGGTAATCCTAATTCCTGCTGTCTGGCAGTCAGGGACATTTTGAATGAAAACAAATACTTCCCTCCTCCGCAAATATTTTGTTTTCCATTCCAAATGATCCTGACCACCATACATAATTTACATATGAGATCCATATGATTAGACAGGAAGAGGTTGGGTTACCTTGTTAAATGTTATTACTGATCCCAAATATCGGTAAATGATTTGAAAAAGTCAGGCTGTCTATCTGAATGAAGCATTGACAAACAATTTTGTTTTTCGTATTTACAACTCGCTTTGACTTCTGAATAAAGGTGACTTACCAATGTAGGTGAAAGGTCATTGAAAAGGCTTATGTTTAAGTTCCTGTCTTAATGTATATTAATTAAATTTAAAAAAAACACTGTGTTTCCAGTGTTTTTTCCTGCTTTAAAAGTTACTTTCCTTTTTGTGAAAATGTTGAGGGATTCTCGCAAACAGAACACAAAGTTAAAATCATCTGTGACAACTTTGCTTGGAAGAAAACAAAAGCTATAAGATATAGGTAGAATGATATATTTAGTTCTATAAAATCTGACCTACAATTAAAACTACTCGGTTTACCGTGTCTGCTATATAAGTATAGCCTGGGTAGTTAAACACTATGTAAAGATATTTTTAGCAACATGGGGAATTTCAAATAAAAAAGGGGGAAATCAAACAAATGGAATATGTATCTTTGTACGGAGTGTCCAGAATAAATCTTATGAGCATAACATTTTCATCTGATGGATAACTGAACTACTCGGTAAAACCTCTCAAACAAAAAATAAGCATTTCATTTTTTTGCAGGGGGTAGGTGAAAGGTGATGTAAAAACTGCATAATGAACATTCATTTCCACATGTACAGCCTGTAAATGTTACATGTTATAATCTGTTTTCATTGGTTAAGAAACAGACCTGTCAGGTAGAGTTACCTCCCTTATACATGCATGAAAATTCACCCATTCTGCATTTCTGCATGTTCTGTGTATTACATGTACAGGAGAAGGAGGGGAAGAAGAAGAGACTTGGGCTGTTACAGCCCATGAATGATACATGTTATATAATCTGCTATCATTGGTTAAGAAACAGACCTGTCAGGTAGAGTTACCTCCCTTATACATGCATGAAAATTCACCCATTCTACATTTCTGCATGTTCTATGTGTTACATGTACAGGAGAAGGAGGGGAAGAAGAGACTTGGGCTGTTACAGCCCATGAATGATACATGTTCTAATCTGCTATCATTGGTTTAGAAACGGACCTGTCAGGTAGAGTTACCTCCCTTTTACATGAAATTCCCCTCTACATTTCTACATAGTCAGTGTGTTTTATGTTTTAGAGGAGAAGGAGAAGAAAAGAGAGTTTTATGTTTTAGAGGAGAAGGAGAAGAAAAGAGACAGGTGGATTGTTACTATCTGGAATGTTACATATTATAATCTTTCATCATATGTCAGACCTTTCAAGTAGAGTTACCTCCCTTTCATATGAAAATTCCCTTGTTCTACATGTTCCCATGTTCTATGTGTTGTAGGAGAAGGAGAGGAGGAAGAGACTGTTGGAGACTGCCCCTAAGAGAACCTCCTCGAGGATCAGCTATAAGATGAAAGAAAAGGAGGAACAGGTAACTGTTACAGAAAACTTGGAAAACAATTATTACCTCAGAGGTGGGCTCTAGGAAGGAAATGGATAGTCTAGAAACAGATATATTAGGCTGACAGCTCCACATGAATAAAGCTTTGATAAACCATTTCTGAAACGATAACTAAACCTTGTGTTGCTTATATGAAAAAGAAAGTGATGTTAAAATAAAATGTAATCAACAACAGTGTTTTGAAAGAGAAAAATTTGCCAAGCTACGCCAAGATTTGAACCCTTGAGCTCAGATTAACATGTTGGCGCTCTAATTGACTGAGCTACTTTGCTAACAGAAGTGGCCTGGCCCAACTGTGCTACAGTTATATCCAAAACGAAATTAAGGGGAGATTACTGCATATAATAAAAACTAGAGTATAATGGAAAAGGAACCATTAATTCCATGAAAAAGGGAGTAGCGGGGCTTACATGTATGTATGCTTTACAAACATTTGCACATCGTCATACAAACTTGGTTCGGTAAGAATATATGATAGATTTGTTATTATAGTTCGATATAAGACATGAATAGTATTTCACATAACAAAAACAAAGGACTAGGTATGGTTTGGGCCTTTTTTGGCCCCCAAATCAATCAAAATTAAAAATCTGCAATAGAACTTTCAAACGAATGTTTCTTTAATTTTTAATACTTTCCCAGTACTATTATGTAAACATTTATTTGTGTTTTCAATTTTGGCTGCCATGATAACCAGGTCATATTTGCCTAAATTATTGAAATTTGATTATTCAGTCAGTTTTGACAGGTTTTCACATAGTTTTTCTCTTAGCTACCATAGAGCGCACTCTTGAACAAACTTTATATTTCTCCTAAAGATGTATTACAGGTGCCTACACATTATCCTTTGATATTAAGTTTGTTCAAGCATGCACTCTATAGTTTCTAGGAGAAAAACTATGCAAAATATCACAATATTCACTGAATATTCAAATTTTTCTAATTTATGCAAATTTGACCTTGTTACCATGGCAACAATAATTAGAAATATAAATAAATATTTTCATAATAGTATTTGGGGCGTATTCAAAATTAAAGAAACAGTCATTTCAAAGTTCATTTAAAGGTTTAGAATTTTGATGCATTTGGGGGCCAAAACAGGCCCAAACCATACATAGTCCTTTGTAATCTGTCTGTCAAAAATGAAATATGTCTGTTGAACTAGCTTTGATCAATATTATGTATCTCACAGCTTTAGATTGCAGTCTACTTTTTCTCGGAAACAAAAATCTTAACAAACCAATCCAATTTGTTGATATGGGGAAAAAACCTGGCAGACGTTTTAAATCGAGTTGGAAGTTAGTTTGTCTGAGAGGAAACCTCTGCCACCTAGTGTAGATACATCTTGTGCAGATCAGTCCATTACTGTAACAATGCTACACATGGGGCTATTATGTGCACCTCTCTGCTAGACAGAATCTACTCATCACAGATTTCTGAAATTGCCTATCCAGGAAACCAGACATTGGATATGTGGGGACTCCTGGTTTTACTGGCTGGGACTGTAGCATGTGGAAATGCTTGTTTGTGGGAGTAGAACTAGTAAATCACTGACTAGGACCGTGACGTTGGATTGTAGATTGAATGGAGCAGAACAATAGCTAGTATATCATAGACTAAAACTAAGGTTGGATTGAATATTTATAGGAGTAGAGCACGGATTGGGACAGTGAGGTTGGATTGTAGAACTAGTGTATCTACTTTTGTTATGGTAGAACAAGAAGTAGAATATCACTGAATTGGACCGTGAGGTTGGACAGTAGATTTGTTGGAGTCAAACTTGTATATCTGTAGAACTGATTGGAGCAGTGAGGTTGGACAGTAGATTTGTTGGGGTCAAACTTGTATATCTGTAGAACTCATTGGACTGTGAGGTTGGACAGTAGATTTGTTGGAGTCAAAATTGTATATCTGTAGAACTGATTGGGGCAGTGAAGCTTGATTTTTAGCTCACCTGCCTGTGAGCTTGTGCCGTACTGCGGCGTCCGTCTGTCAGTTTTTGTTTTTGAACGACTTCTTCTCAAGAACTGGAGGACTTAAGGGCATGATATTTGGCCAGTAGTTACCTGGGATGGAGTGCTATACAGTTTCCTCATTAAAATGACCTTGACCTACTTTCAAGGTCACAGGGGTCAAATATGTTAAAAACTTCAAACAACAATATCCTAAGAACCATTTGGACTAAAGTCATGATACTTGAGTATGTCATGTAGGCGAACAGTGCAAATCTTTTTCTGGATTACAGTAATGAGGTAAAAGGTCAACTTTAAGTGCTAGTAAGGCATCAAACGGCAACATGGGTTAAAAGCTTCAACAATCTTTTTAACAAGTTCCATAAGGCTCAGGGTCATGATATTTGGCCAGAAGGTACCTGGGATGGGGTGCTATAAAATTTCCTCATTAAAATTACCTTGACCCAGTTTCAAGGTCACAGGGGTCAAATATGTTAAAAACCTTCAAACAACAATAACCTAAGAACCATTTTGACTAGAGTCATGGTACTTGGGTTTGTTATGTAAACCTACAGTAATAAGTTCAAAGGTCAACTTAAAGTGCTAGTCAGGGGTCAAAAGTCAACATGGGTTAAAAGCTTTAAAATTAAAATTTGTGAATTTCAAACAACAATATCTTAAGAACCGTTTAAGAGATGTTAAATGTTCTAGTAACCAAATTTGGTCTGAAGTTACCTATATGTCAGTTTCATGTAACAAAAGAAACAGGTGAGCGATATAGGCCCTCTAGGCCTCTTGTAGATATGTAGAAGTGGAACTAGTTCCTCACTGCCTTGGACAGCGAGGTTGGATTGTAGATTTATGGGAGTAGAACTAGTACTGTAGAACTGAACCAGTATTGCTCTGACTGAGACAAAAGAATGGATTGTAGGTTTGTAAGATTCCTTGTATTAAACATTTAAACATTAAAACATTCATCTTCCAAAGACCAATGTTACTGAGACAACCCAAAATGGTTTTTGTACAAGCCCCCCAGCAGTAGCTGGTTATGTTGGACAGGGTAAAGATTCTTCAGGTTGTGCAGACATTAAACATATGGTAGACTGTGTATAAAATTCAGGTGCAACAGTGAGGCCTGTTATGCAGCCTCCATCGTTCAGAATACACTCCGACTCTTTGATGTATCTAGCAGAAGATTTTTTCGCTATTTTTCCACCTGTAAATTTATTTTGAATGATGTATTTTAGTCTGGGGAGAAGTTATTTTACCACGTTTTCTAGACCATGTGACGAACCGATTGACTTCCTGAAGTTCTTTATTTCCAAAATACAAGTTTCTTTAAATAGATTGGTATGTTATTAACAAGGAATGCTTGTAAAGAGCAGTTTTCATTAACTTTCCTAAATTTAAAAAAAAATCTTTGCTACCTGCCAAGTCTTTATAATTATAATCACATGAAATAAAATACATTATGCCTTCAGAATTTAGTTTCCTTTTTCTCCATTAGTCACAGCATAATGAACTCTGTTTATATTGAAGTGGAAGAAATCATAAATAATATTTACACGATTAAGATGTAAAAATATTTTGGCTTGTTTGAAATTTATTTCATAAATTTAGAACTGACAGAAGTTAAAAAATAAGAGTTAAACAGTTGCTTTTGCCAGTATTTGGAAAAATAATTATCATTTTTGGTGAGATATGGATATTACAAATGTTAAAATATTTTTCAGAAATGAGATTTGTATAGTGTGAATATTTTGAGATCGTCGCCATAACATCCACGTTTAACACGTCCGTGATATCAGTTGAGCTGAGGCAACTAGGTCAAAACATTATTTTGAAAGAAGTTCACTATATAAAAAAGTTAACAGATGAATTGAAATTTTAAAACAAAAATCAGTCATACACAATAGAAAAATCCATCAGTCTAATAAAATTCTGGGTCACAACGAAACCATGCAATGAACCCATGCATGCATACTATTAGCCACATAGGGATTAACAAGTAAGCTTATACATATCAGCATAGAAACAAGCATTTGGAACTTTTTGCGAGGTGTCCGAAATAGTCTTGGTTACAGAAATTGTGACTTGCAAAATTAAACCCCTGTGACACAATATTTTGTCACAGATTCGGACACAATATTGCGAAATTTTGACCCCTGCAAAATTTAAAAACTACAGTAGCTAGAATGATCAAGTTGTTACATCAAGTGTGGTGTGGTTTTCATTTCAAATGTTCACAAAAAATAATAATTAGAATATCATATATTTCAACATACATTAATGTAGCCCTCTAGTGGTCCAGGTATCTTTGAACAGTATTGTTATACGGCCTTACTTGTTGCAAGGACAGAAATCCCCCATATACTAATTTATTAAAAATGAAACTTTTGTAACCTGGAGAGTTACTGGGTCACATTACAAATATATTCTTGATCTGATTGTTTCAGGAAGCCATTCTGGCAGAGGCAGAGGCTGAAGAAGAAAAGCAGAGAAAACTGGAGGAGGAAGAAAGGAGACAGATACTAGAGTTAGAGAGAGAAGAAGAAGAAAAGCGCTTGAGGGAGGAACGACAGAAAAATAGAGAAGGTATGTCAGCAATTGTTGTAAATAGGCTAAAGAGGGTTCTTAGAGGTCAAAGCCAAGGTCGCCAGGACGCTTTATAGAAATTTGAACCTTCCTAATTTCTAAATATTGTTTGAGTATGAGAATACCTCAAATGAGTTCCTATTTCATGGGACTATGAGTAAGGGGCACTGTTACTATTTATAGAAATTTGTCAAATTATGACACTCCTTTGCCTGAGAGAATGAGCATTCATATCTTAAAGACAATTTTTAGATTTAAATTCACAATTCAAAAGAAAGGTTTTATGGAAAATAAGCATTAATATTGTCATAACATGGAAAGTTATCTGTTAAAAACATCCTTCTTTTTCTTTTCCCTTCTTTTCTCCTTATTTCTTATCTTCCATTCTTTCCTCTGATTCTCATTTATACTTTTTTCTGCTCCTCTTCTTTCCTTTCTTCTCGCCTTCCTCTATCCCTTTCTCCTTCTATGATTTCCTCTCACTTCCCAGTCTACCCTTTCTCCACTATACAGTATATATATGCTAGTGACATAAATCAGAGATTTAAGTCATATAAATCTAGAGGTGCATCAAATAAAATGTCTAAATCGCGAAAGATGTTTGACAGACAAAAAGAGCTGATTCTGTATGATTTCAGAGAGATCCAGGCGGCTTGAGCAGAGAGAACAAAGAGCACAGCTCATAGCTGAGGGGAAAGAGATCCCGCCTGAACTTCAGTATACTGCTGTGGCCTACAACAGCAAATACAGAGAGGACGAGGAACGCTCGGGGTAAGGGCAGCTAACTCTGGTGGTCAAAATGTCTCGCTGATGGGTAAAATTTGGCAAGAGTACATAACAGGTAGTCAAATGTCAAGAGTAAGGGATCTTCAGGGTCTAGAAACAAGAAAGAATGTTATATAAGGTACTGTTGAACAAAACCATAGGGATATTTTTTGATCAATGCCAGTTATGATGTCAAAATCAAATTACATTTTGTAGTTGATTTTATATTTCACAGTAATTCTCCCTTCAGCCAGTTTACTTCTGTGATCGTTAGAAAATAGCAAAAGTGTAATATTCTCTCTAGAAAAATTTCAACTTTCAACTTTTCAAAAATGTTCTATCATTGTAAGGAGAACTATATAGTCCCCAACAAATAGGAAACTTTTTACAGGTATAACAATAGCTTTAATCAATCATTTTTGCAAGAAACCCACAAGATATTTTTTTAAAGTCTACAACAGCAATGTTAGAGTAAAAAATTGACCTCTAATCACGATTCAATCTATCTGTTAGACTAAGCTACCAGCTGTTAAGTATTTGTTTCTAGGTTTAAACCCGCTATAGTTATATCCAAAAGGAAAATAAAGGGAGGTTACTCTATGGAACGAAAAACTACAGTGGAACTCTCTAGTGTTTTGCTGCAGTGGGACAGGAATCCTTCAATGAGCCTTCATTCCTTATGAAATTTATGAAAATATCTAGAAGTTTCATTTTAGTGAGAATCTGACAACTCTAAAGCAGACTTTCATCAAGCTATGAAATCAAAACAAGTCCAAAACTTTTATCACATATCCTAGAATATATTGCTAAATGTTCAGAGATAATTGTATGAAGTATATTTGAACATATGTCTTAATTTCAGACAAGTACCAGAGTTGGATATTGAAGATATTGAAGAAATGGACAAAGGTCAGCCAGCTTTTTTTTAAAAGTTATCCAATCAGAGACCATGGTGGCCATTTAGATTTTAGATATAAAGCACTTTCTTGTTTTATGAAATTGGTCACTCAAATTGACATTGAAAACCGTTTAATGCTTCAATGAAGCAGATATTCATATGGGAGGAAATTGGTATGGAAGAGGTGCAGGATGCATTGTTATTCGATGAGAAAAAAGGGATTTGTTTGAAGAACTAAACCATTCACCCACCCCTAAAGTATCGTTTGAACCTTACTATATCAAAGACTGGGAAAGTCCAGTTTAAAAATGTAGGGGGTGAATGAAATCATACTACACAACATCTTCAATAACGTGACACATTGGATACATACATTGTTTGAGTGAAGCTCTGATACATAATATACATTGATGATGTGCACTTTTTACAGGCTTTACCAAAAGTTCAGTAGTCAGTCATACAGCAGGCTTTACCAAAAGTTCAGTACCCAGTCATACAGCAGGCTTTACCAAAAGTTCAGTACCCAGTCATAAAGCAGGCTTTACCAAAAGTTCAGTACCAAATCATACAGCAGGCTTTACCAAAATTTCAGTAGTCAGTCATACAGCAGGCTTTACCAAAAGTTCAGTACCCAGTCATACAGCAGGCTTTACCAAAATTTCAGTAGTCAGTCATACAGCAGGCTTTACCAATAGTTCAGTACCCAGTCATACAGCAAGCTTTACCAAAAGTTCAGTAGTCAGTCATACAGCAGGCTTTACCAATAGTTCAGTAGTCAGTCATACAGCAGGCTTTACCAAAAGTTCAGTAGTCACATAAAAACCAATGATACCACAGTATGAATTGAAATTGGCCGTTTATTATAAAAACGAAGTAAAATCAAATCATGTATACAAAACATGTCACGTTTATTCCAAGAACAACGTAAAATCAAATCATGTATACAAAACATGTCACATCATACTGATCTGAATACATATACATGTAGGCATTATGCCAAATGAAAACAATTATTTGACTATTAAAGGAGGGGGGCAAAAGCGCCTCTCCATTAAATTTTCTTAAACATAAAAAAAATTGCTCAAAATCTTCCCCAAAAGCTGAATCGTGCGTCTTACCTTTGGGCTTATGAAAAATTTGCTGAAGTGACACTATTATTGGTCACATGATATGTATCCATACATCAGCATTGGTAGACTGGTCCGATTACATGTCGCAAAAGGAAATGTGAGGCCAAGCTAAAAAGTTCCTCCACATATCAAAATACTTCTAAATAAAATTTGAACCCACATCATTAATGTAACTTCATATTCAATTATTGGTTTTTTTCCAGTGTTTGAAGCAGTCAAAAACCATAAAGATGCCTGGCCATTCATGGAGCCTGTTGACGAAGAGGTTGCCCCGGGCTACCATGACGTCATCAAGGTAGAGCCTTCAACAACTGCTGTTAGACCGAGTCGGGGGGGGGGGGATTTCAGCAGATGTTCGATTTCGAAACCAGTTAAAGGAAGGTTTTCATTTAACTCATCCACCCCTGAAGACACATATATATTCAACTATATTTGAGTTTAGAATTAAATAAGGCAGATTTCATTACTGACTTTTCCAAGGAATATACGAATAAACAAAAGTCAAATTGGAAAATATCCTCTATTTGTGACAAGTGAAAATATCCTCTATCTGTGACAAGTGAAAATATCCTCTATCTGTGACAAGTGAAAATATCCTCTATCTGCGACTAGTGAAAATATCCTCTATCTGTGACAAGTGAAAATATCCTATATCTGTGACAAGTGAAAATATCCTCTATCTGTGACAAGTGAAAATATCCTCTATCTGTGACAAGTGAAAATATCCTCTACCTGTGACAAGTGAAAATATCCTCTATCTGTGACAAGTGAAAATATGCATATGACATTTGAAATGATAATTTCAAGAAAAGTAATGTTTGGAGGAGTTATTGATAGTGGTTGTTGTATTTAAGGATCCCCATACCACTGCAAAAAACTGAAACTATGTATTCAAAACATATTTTTATGGTACGACTAAAGCTTCGATAAATCATTTCTTAAAAGAACAGTATACCTTGCAACAGTAGTGTTCTAAGTGTAGAGAGTCAGTGTGGCTAGACCAGGATTCAAACTCTTAAAAAGCAGTAAACAATACAATGATATACAACATTTGATATAGCGCCCTATCTATCTAGAATAAGCCACTCTAAAGCCCTTTACAGTAAATAGATATACAATTTATCAATCAATATAATTAGCTTATACATTAACCAATACAATTTTGAGGGTTTGGCAGGAGCTGCCTTATCAGATGCTAACTTCTAGTACTATGCCACCCGGCTAATATCTCCCTATGTGTGTGTGTTGGAGATACAAAAAACCACAGTGTAGTGGGATATGGATCCTTAGAGTCAAAGAGTTTACTTTAATCAACCTCAAGAGTTGGAAGTTCTTGAGTAAAACCAAAATACCCATTTCTCCAGAAAAGGAATAGCCAAAGGAGCCAGATTGAAATATCATTGTAATATTTTTGAGATCAAATGTTATGTTGGAATCCTTTGTTTATTATAGAAACCTATGGACTTGTCTCTTATTGAGAGGAAGTTGAAAAACAGGACCTACAAATCCAAGAAACGTTTCCTCAAGGACATCAACGTTATGTTAGAAAACTGTCGACACTTCAATGGAGTGGAAAGTGGTCTGTATATACAAATCTTTGTTTTATTTGGGTAATTTTTGGAATCTTTTTGTATTGCTATAGCATAAAAATGATATTAGACTTGTAACCATATACTGTATAACATGAAATGTTCGTGTGTACTTTCTTTCGTGGTTTGGTTCTTTCAAATTATTTTGTGGGTACAAACTTTCATGGTTTTCTTGTACAACGAAATGTATTAATTTTAGTTGTAAGCCACGTACAACAAATATATATATACCTTTTTGAGAATCATTAGTCCAGCACCTTAACACATTTGCGGTATGTTATAAAATGTCAAAGAGTCGCACTCATCATACCTCTCTGTTCATGTCAAACAATGAAAATAATTAACACACAGGTAAAGTAAATATAACTGCGGTGGGAGTGTTGACATGCTAAGATAACACTGACCTGTTCTTGCAACGCCCTGTAGGCCTACTGTTTCACTTGATAGGTCACATACTTAATTAATAATAAAAAAAAAAAAAAATAATTATACAACAGATTAATAACACATGTCTATTTCAGCAAAAACATAATTTTGTTTTAAATGAATTGTTCTTTTATCTTAAAATATTCGAATCGCTGTGTCACGGAAATGTGAATCAGTTGTGAACCCAATTCATGCTGCTTGGCTCGTTGGAGTCCACAATAAAGTTTCGTGATGAACATCACTGATCATTGACAGTTTTGAGGAAGCGTCAGTGCGATTTTCAGTTCCCCTTAGTGTATTACATACACATTCAGTAGACTTCCGGCATGAGGTTATCGATCAATTTGCTTGTAACCCTGGATTCTATTGAATAAAACAAACTTCATATACTTTTCACACTTTCGTTGTGAACATTCTTTCGAGTAGTAGAAATAGTCGGTGTATTTATATTCGTGGTTCCATTTCAACCACGAAAACAACGAAAGTTCATACACAACGAATCATGTTATACAGTATTCGAAATCATTCTCATGCTGAAGCATGAACTCCCCCATTGTATGATCATAAGAGGCGACTAAATTTGGGATCTTTTCTTTTCTCTTCTTTCAAACAACTTTCTTTTTCCTAATGTCTCCCTTGACAATACCTCTTTTTTGGCCTTTAGTTGAGTGTTCGCCCCTGTGATGAAGGTTTTGGGTTCTGTCCCCTGGCCGAGACTTACCAAGAGTCTGTAAAAATGGTAGTTTATACTCCTGCTTAGCGCTCAGCAATTTAGGAGTGGGACGACTGGTTCGCCCGTTGTCAGTATAATGTGACTGAATGGGGTGTCCTGCTGGGTGGGTGTCTTCGGCAGTATGTTTCAGTGAGGTAGCACTATAAAGTCGGCATCAGTTCCGCGCAATCACAAGGAGACAAATACGAACATATCGCAGCCTCCCAAAACACACACGTATACACTACACGCATTTATCTTTCACACATGGGAGGCCGTCCTTAAATTATGATAGCTGTTAATAGAACGTTAAACAATACCAAACCAAACCAATTGTCACTTGTCCGGTACTCGCTTTAACGTGACGTAAATATGTACTAGTATTTAAAGTAGACTTAAACGGCGGGTGTTGTCGTTGAAGCAGAAGACTCTAGCCCTTCAGAGCATCTGGTCTTATTCATTTTTTTTAAACTGTTAAAGATATCAAAGATATCTTGATGAACTTATCCTATGAAAGGTATGCCTGCATTGTTCACAGCAGGTGTGCAGTGCACTGGAATTAGGTCACTGTGACCTTCACTTCAAGGTCAAAGGTCAAATAAGTGCAACATTTTCAGTTTATTCTTGTCCGCCCGTAAAATTTAAACCGTTAAAGATATCTTGATATCTTGTGCCTTAAGAGCTTAGCCATCTTGATATCTTGTGCCTTAAGAGCTTAGCCAAAAGCGATGACCACTTTCACCGGACTTCATTTACCAGAGTTATGGCCCCTTGAATAACGAAAACTGCCATTAACTGCCGTGCTTCGTTTCCGTGCAATAACTACAACAAATGTTAACCGATTTTCTTCCAACTTGGTCACAGGGTTAAATGCCTTAAGGGCTCGGGCAAAAGTGAAGACCACTCTCACCAGACTTTATTTAGGGGAGTTATGGCCCCTTGAATAACGAAAAACATCATTATCTGCCATTTCTGTTCATTAACTCTCAAATATTATTCGATTGTCTTCAAACTTAGTAACAGGGTTCAACGCATTAAGGGCTCGGCCAAGTTTGACAACCATTTTAATCGAACTCAATTTTGCAGAGTTATTGCCTCATGATTAACGAAAAAATGTCATTATCTGCAGTTTCCGCTTAATAACTCTAGCAAATATTAGCCAAACTCCTTCAAACTTGATAACAATGTTGTTGGGCTTCTGTCTTTCCAGCCATCTCTAGCACTTTTTGGTTTTCGTGTGATTATTGCTGTAGATATTGTTCAGATTTTCCAACCAAATTCCGTATGCACATGTTTGCCCACCGATGTGATTTGTGCATATTTACGGATAATCATTGAGGTACAGGGCTTTTTTTCTTCAAGTTTCAAGCTATATATTATGTCTCAACAGCATGATACTCAAATGTATAAACATAACCTCAATAATGTTAACCTACAAAATGTCCTGCAAGCGGGGGATATAAATTCCACGAATTTGCTTGTTTATATCGAAGTTTGTCCACGGCATAAATTCTTAACCATTTAAAATATCTTTATCAAACTTGAAGTATACCTGCATCACCCACAGAAGGTGTGCAGCGCACTGGAATTAGGTCTCGTGCCCCACTATATACAGAGTAATGGCCCTTTGTTTACTTTTAATACTGAAGTTTGTCAACTGTATAACTTCCATGTTATTTCACCTAGGTTGGCCAAACTTGCTCAAGTTATGTTTCTTGGGAAGTAGGAGTGTCACATTCTAAAATCGGGTCTCGTGCCCCACTATATAAAAAAATATGGCCCTTTTTTATACCGAAGTTGAAGTTCCATGTTATTTCTCCTATGTTGACAAAACTTGCTTTATTTATGCATTATCAATCGTAGATCAAGATATAATAATTTGACTTTATTCACATGATTATACCCCCGCTCCTACGAATTCGATGGGTAAATAGTGTTTGCTTCGTCCGTCCGTCCGAAAGGTTTCCGGAGCATATCTCCCGTACTATTTCACCTACCGTTATGAATCTTTGTTTGTAGGTACATGCATGGAAGGCGGTGTGTCGCATACCATATGTAGGTCACTGTGACCTCTGACCTACATAATGTCGTCAGGAAGGTTTTCGGAGCAAATCTCCCGTACTATTTCACCTACGGTTATGAATCTTGGTTTGTGGATACATGCATGGAAGGCGGTGTGTCTCGTTACTGTGACCTCTGACCTACATAATGTCGTCAAGGTTTCCGGAGCATATCTCACGTACTATTTCACCTACGGTTATGAATCTTGGTTTGTGGGTACATGCATGGAAGGGGTTCCGGAGCATATCTCCCGTACTATTTCACCTACCGTTATGAATCTTTTTTTGTAGGTACATGCATGGAAGGCGGTGTGTCGCATACCATATATAGGTCACTGTGACCTCTGACCTACATAATGTCGTCAGAAAGGTTTTCGGAGCAAATCTCCCGTACTATTTCACCTACGGTTATGCATCTTGGTTTGTGGGTACATACATGGAAGGCGGTGTGTCTCGTTACTGTGACCTCTGACCTACATAATGTCGTCAGAAAGGTTTTCGGAGCAAATCTCCCGTACTATTTCACCTATGGTTATGCATCTTGGTTTGTGGTTACATACATGGAAGGCGTTGTGTCTCGTTACTGTGACCTCTGACCTAAATAATGTCGTCACGGTTTCCGGAGCATATCTCACGTCCTATTTCGCCTACGGTTATGAATCTTGGTTTGTGGATACATGCATGGAAGGCGGTGTTTCGCCTACCATATGTAGGTCACTGTGATCTCTACCGTTACCTTTGACCTACGTAACATGAGACTTGCAGCATATAAACACTTCACTTGATACTTCCAATCCACATCCCCATCACTCCCACCAATTCCTGATCAATCAAAGCGGGGGGTATTCAGGAAGGCCTACCTTCGAGTTACATCTAGTTTTATTAACCAGATTGTAATCAGATGTGTGATAATTCCTATTTTTTCATACATATAAATGTGTCTATAGTACCATAGCTACCGAAAACTAACCAAAATTGTTAAGACAATTTAAAATGAACCAGAATAATTTAAAAGTTTAATGGTTTAGAATTTTCACACCTCAATCTTGATGTGACCTTTCTATTCTTCCAAATTTGCATATTGGCTAATAAGGGGAGACATATGTTTTTGTTCACAAAAACAAATTTCTATTTTCAAAGGGTTATTTTGTCTAGAGGGACTATATAAACCCAGTTTATTTATGATTGAAGTATTTGAATTTGTATCTTTGGGAATTAAGTCTTGATTAATCCTAAAAAAACAACTAAGGCTTGAACCAGGGGATGTAACTCAGTGTTAATTTTAGTACAGGAAACACAGAAAAATGTCAATAAATAATGAAAGTCCCGGTTCAATGTAAACACCCGTCGTGTCGTGTCGCGTCCCGCCCTGATTCAATGTAAACACTTAGCAACTTCATTCTTTGACAGATTATGGTCAAACATTATACAAAGGTACAACCCTTAATAAAAGGGGTGGGGGGCATATAGTGTTGCCCATATCCGTCCTGTCCCATCCTGATTCAATGTAAACACTTAGCAACTTCATTCTTTGACAGATTTGGGTCAAACTTTATGCAACAAGTATGAGTATACTTGGAACATTGTTGTATTTCAGGGATCCAAGGTCAAGGCTAAGGTCACACTTGCTATATATAGAAAATCATCAACTGATTCAATTTAAACACTTAACAACTTCATTCTTTCATGGATTTTGGTCAAACTTTATGCAAAGGTCAAATATGAGTATACTTCGGACATTGTTGTGTTTCAGTGTTCCAAGTTCAAGGCCAAGGTCACTGTTGCTATATGTAGAAAATCATCAACTGATTCAATTTAAACACTTAGCAACTTCATTCTATCACAGATTTTGGTCAAACTTTATACAAAGGTTGAATATGGGTATAACTCTGACATCCTTGTGTTTCAGGATGGTAATAACATACAGAAAAAACATATGATTATTTAAATCAACTTATCAACTTTAAGTATAGTACCTTGTGTGTGTGCATGTTTCAGGGTATCAAGATCAAAGTGGTTGTATCTTTTTATAGCACACTGAAACTAATTTCACATGGCAGCGGGGGCATTTATGTCTTACAGACATTTTCTAGTTTTTTGTAACGTTTTCATAGAAACCTCGATGAGATAAGAAAACTTCAATTGAATTAAGAAACCTTGGCCTTTTATATGATAATTCATCAATTCAGCAGGTCTTCATTCATGTGTTTAATAATACATTAAACCACAAAATCAAAAAGTCACTCTCAAGGAATCTTTGTTCAGAAAGTAAATAATTTCGAAGTGCCCATTCTTAAGGATGTACTCTTCTGAGGTTTCAATCAAGTTCAAGTCTCGTTTTGATCTGGTGTAACAGGTTTTTGTAATGTTTAACAAATTATGATCAAGTTTATTAGCAAACACGCATCTGAAAAATATGTCAAAAAACTAGATGTCTGTTGTTTGTAGAACTTTTTTTACAAGAATTTTAAAAAAAATACCTATTCCGCGACCATTTTGAAAATGTGTATTAATGTGTATTTCTTGGGCTTCAAAAAAGGCAAAAATTTCACCTTTTTTGACACTAGATTGATCACTTAAGTTGTCATTGTGTCGCCATTTTTAATTATAGCAGGTTCAATTTTGCTGTACAACTTTATAATGTTTATTATAATATAAATAATAGTCAACAATCTGGAAAATTATACATTATTGATATATTTTTTTACATATTTAGTGTAACTGAAGCACTTTTGATTTTTGACCCCGAAAAAGGTAAAAAATAACACAAATAATAATGGGACAAAAAAAAAGAAGCACACCAACCCCCGGGATTTTTGTGGATGTTTTAGAAAGAGAAACACGTTTTCTTTTAATTCATTAAATATTAAAAAAAGTTTAATACCAGAACTATATCAAGCGTTTAATCTGCAAAAAATGGTATTTTCATTAAAAATTAGGGGGTAGGGGTAACTAAAATCGACTTTCTGAGTTAAAAGAATAAGATTAAGAAATTTTACTTACATAATTTAAATGAAAATAATATTTTTGTCAATTCTTCAAACATTCATACATATCTGATAACACATTTGGAAGAAATTGTATGAATTTGTTCCGCAAATGGTCAAAACCCAAAAAATCACCTAAAATCACATGTTGTGTTAAAATGGTATCTTTGACCGATCATAGCACAAAAACGAACACACCGACATATATTTTTTTTTGCATTTTCTACTATGCCATTAACTCCTTTTTCCAAAAATGTATATAAGAAAAAAAGTTTAATACAGGAAATTTTTGACTTCTCAGAGGTGTATATCCTTAACGTTATTAAGTTCAGGGGGGGGAAATATTTTGGAAACATTTTTTTTTTGGCTGTTCCAGATTATGAAGATACATTTTGATTATGAGTTGGTCTACTGTGACTTGTGTGACAATTCAAACTGTCTATAAACAGTTATTTACTCTGACTTTTCAGACCTGGGGTTCATGGCGAATACGATTCAGCGCTGTTTGAAAAAAGCTGTGCGCATCCACATGGACAAGGTCAAGGATAACTACGAGGCGGACGAAGAGTTCCGCATCGCACAGTCCGTAAGCACTGAGAAAAAATACCGACCGCGGAGGGCAGCAAGCTCCCGAGCTATGGACACCCTGCACCGTGCCATGAATTATGATGATGACGACTATGAACAGGTAACACGTCACTATAATTCGAAATCGGTAATACTTTTAGGACGTGAGACAGGTTTCAGTGTCATATTGGAGTAATGTAAGTTATTATAAAATCTATGTTTATTATACAATTAGTTGAAACACATGTACCAAATGACGACACAATAGACAAATCAATTTGGCTACACTAAATCCAGGCCCCAGGAACTTGAAACAATCTTAACTCTTAATTTGTCTTAGTTTGGACTTGGCCAATCACAAATAACGTCATGAAAAGTGACCACATATGTGATTAGTTAAGCAAAATCTTAAGTCTTAGATTGTTTCAGGATCCCGAGGCCTGGTCATAGATGTGCAAGAGTCTATTAACATAGCCAAATCGACAGCACTTTGACTGTTGCCAGCTTGTTCATATTCTACACATTTGTGTACATATACTTCACTGGTCATTTGCCCGACATAGTACATATTCTACAGGTAATCAAAACGTCACACATAAATATTTTCTAGTTGGTCTATAAGAACTTCTATATACAATCAGTGCTCACCAATCTTAAAAAAATGTCTAGCAAAAAAAAATGCTGTTATCAGCTTGAAGTTAGTCGGCATGAGATTTACAGTAGTTTTCAAACAGATGTACGAAATTTGTGGTCTTTTCAGTTTGATTCAGATGAGGATGACGATTCCGACAGAAGTCAGAGCCCAAAGCCATACAGAGACAAGATTGTACGCCTGGAACCATCCACAGCAACAACAAAATCGTCTCGCTTAATTCCTGAGTTATCTCCCACTGTGGACGAGTTAGGTTGGAGCGGAGAGCCGAAAAGCATCAAACAAATCGACAAAGCTGGAAGACGTGAATGGAACATTGACGGCAATGTAGTATCGTTTAATGGAAAGAAGTTGTTGTATAACTTTAGCAAACAAAACCGACAGACTTCAGCAACGTCGCTTTCTCTATTGGATGCTAAGAAATACTCTCCATACACAAATAAACATGACGCATCATTCAGTTCATCCACAGACAAGAAAGACATCAATGATATGAATACTACCTATCATCAAGGACAGAAATATGTGTACCAGGTTAAAAGATCGGCAAAACCAAAACAGACGGGGGATTCTCTTTCACCTGTTAGAGGATCTACCAATTCTCTGTTGTACCAAAATAGGCCTTTGTCCCCGAAAGGGTCAGGTGTTCCAAATAGACAGATAAAGCAGTTAGGCCCTGAGGGAGTGATCAAGGTAAGGCAATTAAACTTAGCCCCTGGAGGGCAGTTAAACGTGGCCCCTGGGGGAGTGCCAAAGGTGAAACAACTATCTCCTAGTGGTCAGCCACAGATGATCGCAAAGCATGGACAGAGTGGCGGGACAGTAAAGATAGGAATGCAACCTACATCTCCAGGTAGTCCCAGGCTCCCGATGGCCATCAACAGTGTGTCACCTACAGGTCAGCGAATAATTAAGATTGTGGCCGCCCCAGGACAGCAGCCCCTTCAGCCTGGTCAGGTAATCAACCTGGCAGAACTTGGGCTTGGGGGGGGTGTCAATAAAGCCATGAAGGTTACTGGAAGTGTGCTGCAACTTAAAGGGCAGAATACGGGCATCCCGTTGTCAGGGAAGACTCGCATTATCTACCAGGGAAGGGTGTCAAAGATGGCAGCCGAGCCCAACACCGGGACACCAGTTACACCACCTCAATCTCAAGCACCTGTTGCTGATAGTGATCGTGTGAATAAGACAGCACAGCAAACAAACGCAATAATTACTCTGGGTCCATCTTCAGGGTTATCTCCCTTGTCAACACATAATGTGAAACAAGCTGCTGGCAGGTCTTCAGAGCAGGACAGTATTAACAAATCTATCGTGCAGTCAACTGATACACAGATTCCACAGGGAGTTAGTAAGTTAGTAACGACGCCGGAGAACAAAAGTTTCCTGGGTAATTCTCCTGTCGGGACAGAACCTTCACTCAAAACAAGTGTTTTTGATACTGCATCTGTGATAAGTGACAAAACCAGTGGTGATAGTTCTCCCAACTCGGACCGATCTTACTCCAGTGATGATGACATACCAGAACTCTTTCCCATGAATCCTCCGCAGCAACCACCAAAAAAACGCAAACTCATGGAAAGTTCCAGCGGTCCCTCTCTCTCACCGTCCAAAGTATTCATTCAAGGAGGCAGATCCAGTCCCTCAAATGTTCATAGTAACAGTCCATCAAAATCTCCAGAGGCCAGCAATTCTCCTAAAATGTTGGCAGGAAGTTCCCCAAAATTGGAAAGTCCTCCTAAATTATCAGCCCAGTCACTACTTGGTCCTCCTAAACTCACATGTCCTCCCAAAATACAGAGCCCGCCAAAGGCCTATGGGCCTCCAAAATTGACTCCAGTTCGACCACTGGATAGTAGAACTGACAAGCTTTCGGAATGGAAGCAAAATACAAATTGCAAATTCCCACCTTATAAAGCCCACCAGACCAATGGGCCAGGTGAGAATCGAAAGAGTGTTTTTGATGCATTTGACATTGGGGATTCTACCCTGAAGGACGCGAGTTCCGATCTTTGTACCACAAAGCAGGAAACAAATCCCGGAAATCGTAGAAAGCTTATATGTGATTCAAATGATAGAACAAAAGACAGTGTTCCCATAGCTGCCACACTAAATACAACAGAACAAGTTAGGACTTCTCCCGCGTGTGTACGTAATACTAGTAGTGCAGATTCTGACAATGTTTCACATGCTGTGGAAGATAGATTATGTGATCTAGGGTCGTCAGAATCCATCACGGACACTGGAAAGAGACCTCATGAATTTGAGTCGTTGGAATCTAACTCGGACACTGGTAAGAGACTACGTGACCTTGGGTCGGAGTCTAACTCCGACACTGGTAAAAAGTCTCCTGATAAGGGCAATCTCTTTGACAATTTTGCAACATTTCTGCACACTGGACCTAAAACACCATCTCAACCAACATCTCTGTCGGTGGGTCGCAATTTGTTTAACAGTCAGAAAAAATCATCATCTTCATCCCAATCTTCATCGTCATCATCATCGTTTTCATCATCATTTACTTCATCATCACATTCGTCAGGTAGATCTATTTTTGACAGTATTAGTCCTGCTACGAATGCCTCCAATCACAACAACACGCCAGCTGTGAATATTAGCCAATCGGAGGTGTTGGGCGGGTCGAAGCCAAGTCTTACACAGAACATGATGGACAAGGTCTCGGCTTTCGCTGCTAACCTACACACAGGGTCCCTTGCCAGTCGTCTCGGAAACATCTCCCCACCGAAGTCATCGCCGGGGGCAACAAGCTTGCATCATCAGTCACTGAATTCACAGGTGAGGCTAACCTAAAAATTATGGGGTTCGTTTAGTACTAAGAACAAAAATTAGTTTTTGAAGAGTATGTATTCATAGGGGAAGTAACTCTTTTTGTAAACATTGTCAAGTTTTTTGGTATGCCAATGTTAACCTCTCAGTCAAATTTTCCTATCTCTTATTCACATGTCCAACAGGTTTCAATATTATTCAATTATAGCCTTTGGCTGAGGTCGATACCTGGATTTATCGACCCGAGAAAAGATATATTGACCAAGGACGTGGTCCGAGGTCATTATATCTTAAAAAAATCTTTTCTCGGGTCGATAAATCCAGGTATTTACCTAAATTGAAGGCTACAATTGTTTTATTATATTAGAAAACAGTAATGTTAGTAATCTGGGGAAAAAACACAACAAAAAAGTCAATATCGTTTTTTATTGGTGGACACGTGATGCACTCCTGGCCAATCACTTGTCGGGAATGATATGAAAAATTAATAACATCCTTGATCGTGATTAGTGTGAAAGTTATAAGATCGGCATATAGCTCTCTGAAGAGTTATTGTAATAATTTGATATTTCTGTTGGATTATAATAATTTGATATTTCTGTTGTATTATAATAATTTGATATTTCTGTTGTATTGTAATAATTTGTAAACTTGATGTGTTGTAACAACTTTATACCTCTGTCCTATTGTTATAATTCTGTCTTATTGTTCAATTTTGATATAAAACTGTCGTATTGCTATAATTTGATAACTATTTGTAATGGTTTGATAATTCTGTAATACTGTAAAGTGAAAATGATTGCATTTTTATACGCCCGTCAAATTTGACGGGAGTATTATGGTATGTCGTCGTCCGTCAGTATTTGATTTTTTGTTCTGAGATTTTCCTACATTTGTAATAGCATGTCAGCTAACCACTCTTAGAATGATGCAGATCTTATTTCAATGTAAGAAAGTATATAACACTATATGGCATTCGATGGGCGTATATTGTTCAATATCCACTCACGAATATTTATTAATACATATAAAAATTATAGATAAGTAGAAAATAAAAATTTCAGGACTATTGAAAATGGAGAGAGAAAAATCACCTCGCTGTGATCATTTTAAAAGATCACAACACGAACATTTCCACATGTGAAAATTTCAACTTTTACAGTATTGCAATGATTTGATAATTCTCTTGTGATTTGATATTTCCAGGGAACAAGTAACAGAGAATACCAGTCGAACACAGTGGTCCATCAGGTATAATTAGAGGAATTTTAACACCTAACATATATATCATAATGTAAACCTAATAAGTCAATTTCATTAGCATGTGGTACAGTATAGTTGTCACAGGAGCACAGTTGTAGTTTTAGCACCATACCGGGTATACTGTATACCGGGAAACTTTTGGCAAAAATATTCACCCTTTTCAGATAAAATTCACGTTCGCCTGGTGTCAATTTCACCCCTCACATGTTTTTAATATATATTACATGTTGTGCTCTGCAATGAGCTGTAATGATAAACCTGCCCTCACTGGAGAGGGCGAAAAAGGCGAAAGTTAAACTTCGGCGAAAATTTCCTGGTAAATATTTTACCCACCAATTTATTGGGTTTGATCACTGCATGCTCATTATATTTGATAGTGATATATATTAGCTTGGATATTCCTGTAGAAATTTTGTAGATAGAGATATAAAGATTATCTTGAAAGTAATGGTTGATTATGATTGATGTCTAATCAAGTGAGTTTGTTTTGTATTGAGATATGATCTACATGTTTCATTTAGTAGGTTTTCTCTTAAAAAAATCGCCGAGTTGGACGATTTATATATTGTCTTTTCCAATCATGCATTAAAAGATGTTATCAGATTTATGCTGCCCATATTCCTTCAGTCTTAAAGATACAAATTTTTCTACTTTTGGAAACATTCTAAGCATTTCATTTATAGAGGTCATTTGTCTAAAAACATAAATATTTATTCACTATGAATGAAGAAAATTCTTCTTTTGAAAACTAGAAANTTTTTTTTTTTTTTTTTTTTTTTTTTAACTTTGCATGGAATGCCCAACCCTATGTTTCAGAAGTCAAGAGTTCAAATCTGATTATATGTAGTGCATAGTAATTCTTTCAATATCATCTTAACAAAATTACCCATTAGATACTTGTCTAGCAAAAATACTCTGCAACTATTGAATATGACAATCAAACCCTATCTGGAGACTGAATTATTATCAAAATCAGATTTATTAATGGAAAAGGGGCTATATTTTCTCAACATAAAAGAATTCAAAAGTTAAATAGAACTTGTATTAATTAAATCACCCCTGTATTTTTAAACAATGGGTGAAATTGCAGAAAATCTAACTCTAGAACAAATTAGGAAGAGTTAAATATTTCCATGGTATCGGGGCCAGAGCTATGTCTTTGCTTATTCTGCTTGATCTATATTGTAAACATTGGTGTGATTCATTGTATTTCAAATACAACAAAGTGTTTTTGATTTCACCGCTTTTGAGTTCCACACTGTCCAGAGGCCAGTGCATTCTCTAAGGTATTTGATACTTGGTATATGACAATAGAAATATAAATTCTGTAACAAAAATATCAGCTGTTTGGCCTTGTACACAATTTACTGTGTAGTAAGTAATTTCACAGTAGTGTTATTTTTGTCCTTTTATGGGAAGATTGAACTTGGGGCCCCCAAGAAAACCCGCAAAAATAACCCTGCTCTAATTTAAAGCTGTATGCAGTATATTAACATACACTAAATGATATAAGTTTTTGTTGATGTTTGGCACTCTCATAAAAATGATAAACATGTGTAAGTGTAAATAATGGTGGAATCAGAAATGCTGCGTGTCTTTGAGTAGAATTAGTGTGTCTGCTTTCCTCTTTATGTTTGTATTTACATTACAGTACCCAATGATGGGTTATCATCCCGGGGACCAGTACCCCGCCCCCCAGGGCAGCATGTACCAACCCCACCAGGTTGTGTACCCGCCCACACCCCTGGGGTACTATCAACGACCAACGGTTATCACACCAACCAATCCTAGCCAGCCTTATAGGCATGGACACTATGACGCACAGTATTACAACATAGTAGGTTACGCATAATAAAGTTATGATTTAGTCGGATCAGTTTTGTCATTTATCGTGTTTCTGTTTGTCATTTGACCCAGAAATAATATTTATATGACCAATTTGTTCAGGAATCCTTGAGTGTCACTTTGAAGGTAATAATTACCTTACAGGAATTTTTCGAGTGAAAAAGTATTGAGTAAGATTATCAAACTTGGAACAGGATATATCTAGGAAAGACAGAGTAGAGTGTTGTTAGTGTTATCAATCTTGATAAAAGAGATTTCTCGGAAAAACAGTGTTTGTAGGATAATAAATCTTGATAACAGAGATAATCAAACTGATATAACATCTAAGAAAGGCAGAGTGTTACTAGTATCATTGAACTGGATACACGAGTACACGACAATGGAATTTCTCATTCCAAAACTAGGTCACTGTGATTTACAATTTTGACCTATTCTATTTCATAATATATAATGATAACTATTTCATTGTAAAAACAAGTCTATCACTAAGTAATTTGGAGATCAAAATAAAGTTAATTTATATGCTTTATAGATGGGCTTTAGTCTTTTTCATTTCAAATTGGGAAATTTTGCTTAAAATTTATCAGGAGAATGATAAAAAAAAATGCCTTGGAAATTGGCTCACTGCGATATCACAGACACATCACAAAGCTTGTCAGAAACACAATCAATGCAATTCTGATCAGATTGTTTTGATTTGCAGTTCTTTTGTTTTTGTTTGAACTTTTAAAATTGAACTGTTAAAAAGGTGTGATTATGAATATGTGATTCGACTACAGGTAGCTAGGTATGACCCAATATAGGATAAACTAATCCCAATCAATGTGGTGTCTTGATTTTTGAGGGTGTGAATGAATTATTGATTTATACAGTTTCTACATTATTTTACTGTAGTTTTTAGAACCACTTGTCCAACTGAAGATTTCACGAATCTTCGACTAAGCGGCCTACCTTAATTATGTACGATGGACTGTGGTGGATACAATGCTACCTGTCCATTTTAGTTCTTGTGTAGTAACTGCATGCTTCATTTGGGATTTACATTTGCATTTCATGATTGTATCCCTTCTAATACATTTTTCTTGCATGCTGCATGAACTGATGTTTTCAGTCTTATAGAATGTCTATAGCATGGACTGAGTCACTTTGTATATGTGAAGACTTGCACAGCATGGACTAACTCTGTAATCATAAAAACTTAAACAGAATGGATTTATATACTTCTATATAGTCCTTAGGTCTATATGCGTTGTCATACGATTTTGCTTTATTCCAGTTCGTAACAACATGACATTGCTTTACTTCTACTTACTGCATACTAACTCTTTGACACATTCTTACTTATCAAGATCCACTACGGACACATGTGTATGCCATCTTGATGTCCATAGGCCAAACAAAACATCAAGTCGGATTCCTGTTAAATCCTTGACAAATTTAGGGTAGATAGGTAGGGGGGAAATATTATTTTTTCAAATAATTTTAAATGGTTTGTATAAGAGTGTAATCTTGACTTGAACCGTGTTTCTTTTAGAATTGCAAAAAAACCAAAAAACATTTAGAGTAGGCACACAAAATGTGGGTAGGTAGGGCTACCAGAAACACAGAGTATCATTTCTTTGGCCTTAGATGTGAATGTCAAGGATGAAAATTTTCACAGAATGTGGATTATGTTTGGTGACAGTATGTTCTCCGTCATACAATGCAAAGAATGGTTTACCTACATATATGTACATGTATGTGTTCACTAATAAGACATTTACAATCATAAATGAAAACATTGAACATATGCCTTGTGTCTGTTTAATTCATATTTCTACAACTGTTTGTACACCTGATAAATCTTGAGATTTCTACACACATAAAAACAGCAAAATGTTGTCCCCCTAGAATGTAGAACTGTCTGTCCTTGTAATGGAGTTTTGTATGTGAGGATTAAAATGATTCTATCATGATTGCACACTATTGCATATATAGTCTGTATGTGTGTTCATCCTCAACTTCAATTTTTGTTTCATACCATTCTTCTCTTATTTTTCCTGATACTTATATTTCCCTTTTGATGTCTCTGTATTATCTTGTCTTCTTTAAAATAACAACAGTTTCTATTTTTGCTCTGCATCATCAATAATGTTACAGATATTATAGCGTTAGTCTTATTACAGGAAACTATAATGGCAGTATGTCGTTGTCTTATCAGATGAAAATCAATTAAATATGCACTTGAACAAGCCATAATATTTTACCACAATTAAATGATTTCTACCTAATACATTTTACCATTTTAGGATCCTGACCAACCAGGCCAAGGGAATTCATGATGAAGTGAAAATGTAGCCAATCAGGAGGATTGTACTAAATCATGAATGAAACTAAATAGCCAATCAGAATAACTCGGACATCACTAACCAATCACAAGCCTGTAAAGTTGGCTGTTATGTTGCAATAGCCTTTCAGAGTTTTGGAGGTGGATCTTTATAGACCAAACAAAGTCATGAAGAACTTTGGCTCTGAGAGTGAGGCCATATATGGACGCTAACAAAGAATAGTTTTTAACAATTTATTTGAAAGATTTTGTGATGCGTGGAAAGGATGGACTGAATGATACTTATGAATGGAAAAATACTGATAGACTGAAAAGACAAATGTGGAGTGAATATTTCATTAAGTTAAACGTTTTTTTTATGGACAATACACATTGACATTATTTTATGTTTATGTGTATATGAACGATGAAGTTGTGCAACGTACAAGAAAGTTTTGTACGAGTAGACTTTTTAATATTTCATTTAATGCATGCAAGAATTACAGACCAGACAAAAGTTAAATCTGAAAAACTACAAAGTCAACCAATTTAGTCTAAAAATGTATGGAAGCAGTGTATGTTCGTTGTATTATATCGGCAAACATTTTATTTAAAAACAAAAGTTTTTTTTGAGGTTATCAGTTACCAATTTTCAATCAGCTACCTTACACAGTAAATGTGTAAGTTGTTCAGGGGTTATTTCCCTTACCCAAATTAAAGTTGCTGTAGGTATTTCAACTGTATGCGAACACAAGAATGTTATCGGCAGATATTCTTATGAAACTTTGGTTTTGTCTAAGTATCCCCGTACCTCTGCCAAAAACAGTAAAAATGCATTTGAAACTTTTTTACAGCATGACAATAGCTGTGATAAGTTATTTTTGAAAAAAACCCAACATAACTTGATAAACTTTTATGGAAAAAATATATGATGAAAGATGAAATAAACAAAAAAGAACCAACAACAGTGTTTTGAATGTAATGCAAAGGGCCCAGTCAGTCTTTATACCGTCACTCTAACCAGCTGGTTACCTGTTCAATGGTAATACATTGTACTCTGGCTCGGTCGCTCTACAGTTATATCAAAAACAACAGTAGGGAAAACTTCTGTATATATGAAAAATATAAAATATGTGACAGTGGAATTCCCACTCGTTTTGTCTGCGATGGGGCAGGGATCCTTTAGAATTTATAAACCAAGTCCAAATTATCATTTGAAACCAATATCTTACAGCTTTTTTTATGTGTACATCTTTTGTAAAGGAGATTCGAGTCAAGGCAAGGTAGCATATAACCTTAAAGAAATTTATTGATAACATTTATATTCAATTTCATTAATTTGGATGAACTTTTATTGTGAATTATTGCAATTGCTTATTAAACAGTATCAGAATTTTCCATTGTATGTTAGCTCTTTGTAAAGTTAAAAATTTACGTGAACAAGGGAATATAACTCTAGATGTCTATCATTTATTGTGTCTTTGGTAAAGTGTGGTGATTTTTTAAGGTATCATTTTGCAACTTTTTAGGTCAAGTGACCTATTCTGACCGCTTTCCGTCCGTCGTCGAGCGTCATGCATCGTGCGTAAACTTTTTACATTTTCAACTCCTTCTCTAGAACCAGTGGATGGACTTTTTTCAAATTGGTCAGAATCATTGGTAGATAAGGCTACAAATTGGGATTCCTACCCCAACCCTAGGGGCCAGGGCGGGGCGCCAAAGGAAAAATTAACCAATATTTCAAAAATCTTCTTCTCTAGACTCAGAGATACTACTGTCATTTTCTCTGCATGGAAAGTAAGATCATCAGAAGCTTTATTTAAATTGTAAATTTCAGGACCCCTGAGCTATCCGTTGGGGAGGGGGTAAAGTTTACTATAGTTTATATAGGGAAAGAACACTTTTGGGTATATTTTGACAATTTTCTGTAAGAAATTATTTTAACTTGGTGAGAATAATCTTTGGAGGAAGATGGTTTCAAATTGTAAAATCGGGATTCCTACCCCAACCCTAGGGGCCAGGGTGGGGCCCCAAAGGGAAAATTAATCAATATTTCAAAAATATTCTTCTCCAGACTCAGAGGTACTACAGTAATTTTCTCTGCATGGATGGAAAGAATATCAGAAGCTTTATTTAAATTGTAAATTTCAGGACCCCCGGGCCATCCCTGCTCCCTGTGGGAGGGGGTACAGTTTACTATAGTTTATATAGGGAAGGAAATTATTTTAACATGGTGAGAGTTATCCTTGGAGGAAGATGGTTTTCAAATGGTAAAATTGGGATTCCTACCCCAACTCTATAGGGGCCAGCGCGGGCTTGGTCAGAATCATCTTTGGTGGATGAGGGTACAGTTTGCATTACATTGTAAAATTGGGATTCCTGCCCCATCCCCAGGGGCTGGGACGGGGCCCCAAAGGGAACATTTACCAATATTTTAAAACTCTTATCCTTTGATGACATGTCAAGTATTGTATTTCACTTAGTTTACATGCCGATTTCCACATCACATCTTAACAATAAAATAAAGCTACCAGTACCTCTGATATAACTCGGGTGACCGCTAAGGCCCTTGGGCCTCTTGTTTTCTGTAATGATCATGCACCAATTCTTAGATGTTGTGTTCATATTCAGGTATTGCTTGAGGATTTTTAAAAATTTTGAATTTATATAAATTTGTTCATTTAAAAACCATTGTAAAGTTACCATGTCTGTTTTTTTATATATTTTTTTTCCTTTTTTATTACTGGAAAATAATTTTGGTGTTGCAAAATAATATATATTTTTCATGAATAAAATTTATAACACAAATTCATGCTAAAAGATATATGTAATGTTACTGTGAATGCAAGAATATACTCATGAAATATTTAAGAAAAAAAATAATCATGTGATAATGTGTGGAGCTATATATATATAAAAATGAAATTTAGTTTGCAGTATAGGAATAAAAAAAAAACTTCATTAAGTGTGAGTTTAGGAATCGTTGATACAATAACAATGGGTGTATCAGAAGAAAAGGAAAAAATGAAATCTTGGTTGCCTAAATGTCATGCTTCTAACAGATATCTTTTTAAACACACAGTATCATGACTGAACATTTTTTTCATTTTTGTGTTTGTGTACCTTTTTGGGGGGGAGGGGGGGGCTTATATTTGTGATATCATTACATTAGTTTTAGTATAATATGTAGAAGGCAGAAATATCAAAATATGTAGAAGGCAGAAATATCAAAGTCGTGCAAAATTACCTATAATATGAAGAAGGCAGAAATATCAAAGTCGTGCAAAATTACCTACTTGCAGAAATTCAGTACATTATATGGCATTATAAATATTCTAATAGGGGCATGCAATTGCAAATTTAGAATATTAGCCCGCAGGAAAATATCAACTAGCACCACCTTTGTTTATCGGTAGTGAATATTTAGAAAATGTTTACTAACTTTGTTTCAATATATACTACATTGTAGATTCTGTTGTGGGGCTAGTAAAATTGTACAACCTAATTTTAGCAGGTTAGAGGTAATGTGTAAGGCATGCACATTTGAAATGATCGTCCCTGTACTCTATCAGAAGCATGCCAGTACATACAAATTCTGTCATTTGAAGTTATATTCTGTACTCATAGAGTGAAATTATTATACAGTGACCGTGTTAGTTTTGGTATGATAAACATGTTTTTGACTTTTTTATGAATACAGCTTGTGTTGGATTAAATGCTATCATTTGCATTAAGAGTGGTATCTAATAATGAATCGTTAAATGTCAAGTAGATTTTGTAACACTCAGTAGAAATCTGCTGAAGCAAAACTACGACAGATGAGAATCGTTGGATATTTGTTTCTAAGGGAATTTTCGACAGATATACATGCCACGGAATCTCCTTTTTCACAATAACAGACTTGCCCTTGCAAACTTAGTTATTTCAAATCACAGCCCCTGTGTTTCAAATCACTCTTCATTAGATGAATGGGAGACTAATAATTTTCTTGTTCCATAAACTATGTCGGGTAGTGGTTAAGGGGAAGTAACTCATGATATGCACAAATTCTACAGTTTGTTAATGTTCACACATGACCATGTATCATAATGTTTTTTGAGAAATCATTCTTTCTCATCAGTTGTGTACATTTGAATAAATTGTTTGTACATATATGTAATGTATGACAGAATTTGAATTTCCGGTTGTTTGTTTTATATTTAGAGTGGTGAATTTTGTTGCAACATTAAACTTTGACATTTTTTTTGGCAAAATGGAGATATAAAAAGAAAACATAAAATTTTGAAAATAAAAAAAAGTTTGCCTGTTTTCACTTAATAGTCCTAAATATCCCCAGATAATTTCAATTCATTTTCAGGCAGTATGCCAAACCTTATCAAAGTGCTTGTTTGTGTAAACCATTTCAAAGTGCAGGTTAGTGTAAAGATGGACAGACAATTAAATGTCAAACTCAAAGATCAAAGCTGAGATAATACTGGTATTCAATGTGCTATAACAAAAGTCAGAAACAAAGGACAAAGTCTAAACTTTGTGTTTCCGTCCTCCCAGTTCAATGATTTGGTCATATATATGTCTAAACTTCGTGTTTCCGTCCACCCAGTTCAATGATTTGGTCATATGTATGTCTAAACTTCGTGTTTCTGTCCTCCCAGTTCAATGATTTGGTCTTATGTATGTCTAAACTTCGTGTTTCCGTCCTCACAGTGCAATGATTTGGTCATATGTATGTCTAAACTTCGCGTTTCCGTCCTCCCAGTTCAATGATTTTGTCATATGTATGTCTAAACTTCTTGTTTCCGTCCTCACAGTTCAATGATTTTGTCATATGTATGTCTAAACTTCGTGTTTCTGTCCTCCCAGTTCAATGATTTGGTCTTATGTATGTCTAAACTTCGTGTTTCCGTCCTCCCAGTTCAATAATTTGGTCATATGTATGTCTAAACTTCTTGTTTCCGTCCTCACAGTTCAATGATTTGGTCATATGAATGTCTAAACTTCGTGTTTCTGTCCTCCCAGTTCAATGATTTGGTCATATATTTGTCTAAACTTCGTGTTTCCGTCCACCCAGTTCAATGATTTGGTCATATGTATGTCTAACTTCGTGTTTCCGTCCTCACAGTGCAATGATTTGGTCATATGTATGTCTAAACTTCGCGTTTCCGTCCTCACAGTTCAATGATTTTGTCATATGTATGTCTAAACTTCGTGTTTCCGTCCTCCCAGTTCAATAATTTGGTCATATGTATGTCTAAACTTCTTGTTTCTGTCCTCCCAGTTCAATGATTTGTTCATATGTATGTCTAAACTTCGTGTTTCCGTCCTCCCAGTTCAATAATTTGGTCATATGTATGTCTAAACTTCGTGTTTCCGTCCTCACAGTTCAATGATTTGGTCATATGTATGGCTAAACTTTGTGTTTCCATCCTCACAGTTCAATGATGTGTTCATATGTATGTCAAATACTGACTTAGGAAAACTGATTTTGCAAAAAGTTTCCAGTATTTAAAACAGTTATATCACCATGAAGCTAATTCCGTTTCAGTGAATAGAAAATTTGGAAGGCACATGATGCGTTTGAGCTTTGGCCATTGGCCTGTGTTTGCCAATGACTAAAGAAACCAATTCCTGTAGAACACTTCACTTAAGGAACCTTGAATCACTGCTCAAAACTATCTCAAGTATTGGAAACTGTTTTTCCAGCATTACTATAGCTTTGATATCTCATTTCTAAAAAGAAAACCATACTTTACGGGACTTTCATGAGAAAAACTATAGATGAAATAAACACTTTAAACTGAACAAATTACAAGAATATAAAGTTACATTATATACATTTATTACACAGCACATGACATAACATGATTATATGACAAATAATTAAAAACATATAC